TGTACGCCCCTACCCTTCGTCTTCATACTTCATCTTTCTTACTTGGTGAATCATTTGGGTTGGAGGCCATAATTTGGTTTTTGGCTGTAATCTCCTGGACTGCAAAATAAAGATTCTTGCTGTTCAACCAGCCTGTTTCAGAGTTTCTCTCTTCACTGAGCAGCAGCAGTTCTGCAGAACCAGAAGACGTGGTTATTACACCTCACTAGCTAGCTAGCTAGCTAGCTATTTACCAGAACACAACCAGTAAACACTAACAATGGTTGGCGTTATCCATTTTCTCAATACAACAATCAGTTAACAAGCTGAATATAGGCTTCTACCAAAGTTAGACCCAAACATCTGTGCACTAATAGTTCYAAGCCTGAAACACTGAAACATTTTTTTTTTCATAGAAACTGTCAAGATGATGAATGTCTTTTAATAAACTTTTATCTTCTTTGTGTACATGCTTTAGGGAATTTTTTATGCAAGCAGATGACTTTTAYCAGTGTGTCTACAAACTTTCCTTGATAATTCCCACTAAGTGGGAAAGGTCATCTCTATAACTGGAGGTTAAAACACCAAATTAAATATGTTTCAGGACCAGACTTGTAGTGATAGAGAAAAAGTGGTGTCCTGACACCAATATACTGTAAATTTCTACACTTTGATCAGGAAATCTAGTTTACTACACTGTGATCTCTTTCCGGATTAAATAATGATAAAAATGGAGCAAGAGCTTAAGTCATACAGTGAAATACCTGGTTTCCATGATCCTGCAAAAAAATAAGATTAAAAATGCCTATTTCGTTTTAGAGCAGCCTTGTGAAGGGGAGATCCTGGGATTTTCCCCCATAAAATTAAGTCAGCACATCTACACAGCAGCAATTCATCAACCATCTGCATCAGAGATGAATAACGTCCCGGCTGCTTTTAAATCTATCCATTAAATCAAATCTTTTTGCATCAATGTACCATCTTACTGAATTGGGCTTCYGGCTTTTTGCTTCATATTTTTGCTGCAAGAACAGTGAGCTTTGGCTTATTCTTCTGAGACCAGGCTGAAGGGATAAARCAAGATTTTATATTGGTTATGTAATATAGCTGACTCGCTAATGAAGARGAGTAGATTCTCAATGTGAGGATCAACACCATTAGTTTATTTTCTGTYCATGAATGAACAGCTAATGAACCTCCCTTAAAATAGTTCCTTTTGTTCGGCTGTGTTTATTTCTTTTCAGCTCATTTATCCAGCTAACCTCCCTGTCACCCCATGTCCATCCATCTGTTGGTCAGAAGTGCTTTTACCGACCGTTTATTGATTCACCTGACAATTTATTCATTCATCATTTATTCATTCATCAGTCTTTCCATTAAGATAACATGTATTCTAATGCTCTACCATCCATCTATCCATCCATCCATACATACATACATATACACATACAGACATACATACAGTACATACATACATACATACATACATACATACATACATACATACATAC